AGCCTAATGAATTTTAAACTAATGAACTTACTTTTTAAAATTTAAGTTTATGTTAGGAGACCTTTTAGGTAACTAGTAAATAAATAATATTTAAATAAAAGTAAAGCAAACTGCATTCTGACATAATTTGATCAAATAATAATGACAATAATACATTGGTCAATTGACCAGCCAGTTGACTAGCTCCCTAGGGTGCAAACCCTACCACATCTGCCGTGAACATATCTTCTGGCTGAACATTTTAATGGAACGAGCCAAGGACTTAGGGAACCAATATCAGTTTCAGTAGACAGTTCTGGTCGGATTGCATAAGGAATACTTTACTGAGTGAGCTCCTGCACATTTGAAGGCTCACGTGGGAGGTATTTAGTGAAGAAGAGACTCCATTTTATGTGCAGCAAGATTACTGTGTTTTAGAATCCACCGTGAACACTGCTAAATTGAATAGAGTGTTGGGGTGTTTCTTCTCTGTTTGGAAGAACGAGAGCCAAGCTGCAGGAGAAAGGAAAAGTGGGAATCTCTCATAGGAGCTGCAAGGCATGGCCTAACTGAGATACAGAAGGCGGAGTCCTGAGCTCTGGAAAGAGGGGGAAATATAGTCACTTGGAAGTTAGAAGACGAGACTAAAAACCCATGCTTGGAGAAGCATGTGATTGTAATTATTAGGCTTTAATTTGGTTATAAGTTTCTGCAAGTTTTTCAGTGTTAAAGTTTGGACATGGGTTTAATTCCAAAAGAAAGGTATCAGCCTCTCATATATAATACACTGGTTTCCGGAATTCCGTCTCACACCTTTGGGTTTGCACTACTGTGTTAATTTTGTGATTGGCGCTAACAGATTATATTCTGAGGGTGTGGCTAAACCCCAGTGTTTTGCACTGTTTGTTTTGCAGCCACAAAAGGCAATAGCTATGCCAGATTTCACAAAAGACATGATTCTTCGGGGGGGGGGGGAATGGAAGACATATGGGTGCTGTAGTTTGCTACTATGAGTTATTATGATGGTTTTGAGCAAGAGACTCTGTGCCAAGTTTATTGCTGGCATCAGCAGCAGCAGCATTGTTCTCAATGGGCTTTTAAAAGTTTTATTTTTTTCTGGGTTGGGAAATGTGTTCCAAATTCAGGAAACAAACTTTAGAGTGATGTTGTGAGAGCGGAGGGAGATGGTCTCAGGACAAAACAAAGGAGGGGGGACTTGTTCTTTTGCAAGAACAAAGAGTACAGGAATGCTCCTCTCATAAGGGGTTGGTGAGAAACCAAATTCGATTATTAAAAGAGATAGCTATCTCTGGGAAATGGGTACCAGAGTTTGTTTAGTGTTGAGCCGCTTAGGAGGTATGTGGGCATCATCAATATATACATTAACAATAAATAATGTAAGTGTATATGTTGTCTGTGGAATGCACAGCAGTGGACTTTTTCTGTAATCTGAGAAGAAATCTGTGGGTGCGGCTTTGTATCTTATTCACAAAAACGTGATGGAGTCTCTGGACTCCAAATTTTCCAGTTCCAAAGCAAAAGTGTCAAACTTTTGGTTTCAAATGCACTAAGCCCCTTAAGCTATTCTGTTGGCCCATTCAGCTCAGCATTGTCTGCGGTGACTAGCAGAGGGTCTCCGCGATCCTCAACCGAAAGACTTTCCTAATCCTTCCCAGAGCTGCCCAGGATCAAAAGTGGGATATTTTGCATGTAGCACATGGGCTCTGGCACTAAGCTTTTGGGATTGCTTGCCTTTTCTTTAGATAGTTTGGAGTTGCATAGAATAAACCTGAATGCAGTCGTACCTCGGACATCGAACAGAATCCATTCCAGAAGTCCTTTCGACTTCCGAAACGTTCGCAAACGTACGACTTCCAAAGCACAGCTTCCGAGAGCGTTTGAAAACTGCAACACTCAGTTTTCAATCATTTGGGAGCCGAAACATTCGACTCCCAAGGCGTTTGGGAGAAGAGGCAACCCAGGCCTGCATTAGAAGTATCTCTAAACCCTTTATTTAGAGATTCCATGCTAAGACAGCTGGATGGCACCTTGTATGCCTCCTTCCGGCAACTCCTGCTGCCAAGTGTATTGCTCTGTTTTCCTTTGGACTACATCAGCGAGGCCGAGAGAGGGGTCTTCTCATCTGGGCAGCCCAGGACTTCCATACACAGTGCCCATTTGAGTGCCTCAAGGGGGTCACTTCAGTGCTGCTAATGCAGCTGTTTGACTTTATCCCTGGGGGCGCACTTCATTTGTCTCTCAAGTCAAGACTGATGAATACCATACTATGATAGCAGTACACTATAGGTCAAAACCAGACACTGTGGCAACCCTGGGCAAAACGTCATATGGAACATGGAAGGTGTAGACCTGAATAATTGACTGTAGCCGCATCAACCTGAGACACACAGAGTCTGCGTTTGGGGGTAGGATGTTTGATTCAGTTTGCATTTAGACATGAATCTACCTAACTTGCATCATTATTATCATCATCATCATCATCATTAATAATAATAATATACCACCCTATACCCAGAGGTCTCAGGATGGTTCATAGTAAAAATCAAAATATAAAACCACAAAATATAGAGTTGTATTGATTTTTCAAAACACTACCGTAACCGGAACACAACCAACCTAAACTCACACTTCTCTGAATTTTGCAAGGCAGTTCTTCAGCCATGTCACGAGTAAAAGAATACATAGACTAGGGTAAAGTGTGCATTAAAAAAATACACAGATTAATAAAAATAACACAAGAGAGATGCATATTTGAGAAAATGTAACCATTTAATGTCCATCCAGAGTGATTTCCTCAGTTCAAATGTCTTTTGGATAGCTAACGATAAGTGTGGGGCAACTTTGTTGGTAGTTGTGTTGATTTTCACATGCAGAAATCTGTGTGCTTGTATGGATGGCGACCACAAAGCGCTTTTGCTGTGTCTGTGTAATGTTTGCTTATGACAATCTACAAAACAGTCCTTAGGTTGAACCCCCTTGTGTCTCCTTTGAGAGTTGGACGGACAGCATTAAGCCGTTTGTTAAGGATGATGCACGACTGGAATGACTTCATCTGGGAGTCTCTTGATTGCAACCTTCACAAAATGTCAAAGAAGGATGGTCTTCCAATTTGCGAAATCTCTGCATTAAGGCAAAAATGCCTCTCGGTCAGATTGTGGCAATGTTAAACATGCAGCGTTGACAAGGTAGACTCAGATCACACAGCTGGATGCTTTACATAAGCCGTTTGCTTGTGGGTTGATCGTCTAAATAGGAATTTGAAATGTGCTTGGTGCCAGCGCAGTTCATTAGTAAGTTCTGGACACCAGGTTGTGGACCAGAAGTGCTGCATTGGTTAAAACTCCTGCAACTTGTTTCGTTTTATTTTTTATTTGGTATTTTGCAAGAAGCTTACCTGCACGAGAATTCAGTGTTTCTAGTTGCACACCAAAACGCCATTTGTAAAGGTGGTTTTTGAAAGAAAAAAGAGAAAAAACTTGAGTAATTTACTTTAAGAATTATTTATCCAAAGCTGCTCACCAGATGGGATGCAGTCACCATGCTATTTTTCAGGCAGGTGGGTCACTGTTGCTTTCTGAGAGAGGTGAGGGGGCAGAGAGTTCAACACAGAGCCAATATAGTACAGTGGTACCTCAGGTTAAGAACTTAATTCGTTCTGGAGGTCCGTTCTTAACCTGAAACTGTTCTTAACCTGAGGTACCACTTTAGCTAATGGGGTCTCCTGCTGCCGCTGCGCCGCAGCCGTGCGATTTCTGTTCTCATCCTGAAGCAAAGTTCTTAACCTGAGGTACTGTTTCTGGGTTAGCAGAGTCTGTAACCTGAAGCATCTGTAACCCGAGGTACCACTGTACTACATTGAGTTTGCATCTTGCAGAACTTTCCTCCCTCTCTATTTCCGGGTAAGCAGTCACAGTCTATCTGCTGAGAATTGGGCATCATGGCTGTTGAGCTGCTTCTGATACTATTTTTGATAGCGTTGTGGTTAGGGGGTGGGTCTTTTCTGTTGCGGTGCCCACTCTTCGAAAACCACCTCCGATTTCGGGCCTGTTAGATTGACTTACTTCTTTTTACTCAGCTATGGATTTTGGCATTTTTATTCATTGTTTACTGTATTGATTTTATGGATTCTGCCATATTTATTCACAGTAGTTTATTGTGTCGATTTTAATGAGTGTGTGTTGTAAACTGTTTTACTCTATTTTTTTTTAATGTTAGGTGGCATTTGAATGGTTTTAGAATATTTTTTTATAATCCCCCTTTATATAAAATGTTCAATCTGACTTAGAACAAAATAATAAAACATACACATTGATACTGTAACATGCATTTTTTTACTATTAGCAAGCATGAGGAAAGTTCACCAGTCCCTTTTATTTCACCATAAACTAATTGCAAATCTCCTTTACCAAAAATTGCAAGCTCCTTGGGGCAGAGATCTCTCTTTTTTATTCTTCTTCTAAAGCTCGTAATTGGGACGTGGGTGGCGCTGTGGGTTAAACCACAGAGCCTAGGACTTGCCGATCAGAAGGTCAGCGGTTCGAATCCCCGCGACGGGGTGAGTTCCGGTTGCTCGGTCCCTGCTCCTGCCAACCTAGCAGTTCGAAAGCACATCAAAGTGCAAGTAGATAAATAGGTACCGCTCCGGCGGGAAGGTAAACGGCGTTTCCGTGCGCTGCTCTGGTTCGCCAGAAGCGGCTTAGTCATGCTGGCCACATGACCCGGAAGCTGTACGCCGGCTCCCTCGGCCAGTAAAGCGAGATGAGCGCCACAACCCCAGAGTCGGACCCCTGGACCTAATGGTCAGGGGTCCCTTTACCTTTACCTTTAAAGCTCCTAATACCTAGGTAGGTTTGTTGAGCAGGAGACCCTTATTAATTCTCAGGGTCGTCGGTTTGAGCCCCACATTGGGGGAACAATTCCTGCATTGTAGGGGGCTGTCCTTTCCAACTCTATGATTCAGTGATCATATTAATGGTAATCTCTCCTTTATGTTTCTGCAGATCATGGGACATTCTGATTGGGATCACAAACGAGGACCCAGAGGATCTCAGGTGAGTTTTTTGCAAGGTTTTTCTACAGCTGGTTTAAAGGAGGGCTGGGGAATGTGGTTGTTTGGGAATGTGAGTCTACGTTGGGTTAAATATTTCTCCAATATATTTGGTGGTCAATCTGGGCAATCAAACGTACCAGCGGTGTGCAGGGATTTCTCAAATCTATCTGAATGGTGATCTGTAATGAGATATCGGTCCTTATTTCCTTCCTGAAATCAGATAAAGCTCCTGCAGAATATATCGTTCCAGTTGAGCTCTACAAGGAATATATAGAATGGCGGGTACCTATCCGGACTGGATATTTATTTACCACCATAAACAACACAGACCAAATGCCCTCTGCATGGAAAATGACTGTCATTTTCCCAATGTGTATAAGAAAGGATACAGAGATGAATTATCTACATAACTATTGGCCAATCAGCTGGTTAGACTTCTCCTCAAAGCTATATACATGGTGTCACATTACCAGTTTTAATTTAATTCAATGCAATAATTTCAAAGCTTTTTAAAACGTGGCCATCTTTAAGCCTTTAGATGGTGGGTTTTTGCGTATTTGCTTTGCATGTATCCCTCTAATTTATATCGGAAATACTGTGTATGTTTCTCATGCATCTCTTGGTGAAAACAGTTCTGCTTTTACGTTTTTAGTCTGAGGAGCTAGAACCACACACTTTTAATTAATCAATAATGAAGTGTCATCACGGATGTTTCAATTGTTTAAGGCTGTTGACTTCTTGGTGACATCTGCTGTTGCATTTGAGTGTTGCTTTGCAATATTAGCATATGTTTGTGCTGTGCAACCCTAGCCCAGCCTTCTTGGGAGCCAGCACCATTGAATTCAATGGGATTACTTCTGAATATACATGGTTGGGATTGTGCTGTAAGGCTGTAATCCTAAACATGCTTACTTGGGACTAAGCCCTGTTGAACTCACTAGGACCATTGCATTAACATCCATAGGACTGGGCTGTTAGTCCTATAATACAGAAAGATATGGATAATGGGTTCTGCCCAACTAAGTTATACTTGGCATTATTGAATCTTAAGTTAGTTGTGTCTATTAACTTCACTGGGTCTACTCTGAGTAGGACTACCATGGGAAACAAGGCACTATTGCTTATTTATTAATTCATATTCTCACACACACACACACACACACATTGTGTGTGTGTGTGTGTGTGTGTGTGTGTGTTAAAAAGTAGTACATTCCATTTTCTTGTATAATATCCATCGGTGTCTTCCGAAATTGCTTTGTTTTTCCACATGACCAGAAGACATGTACGTTTTTAAGAATTTTAATGTAAAAGCAAAGGAAGAGTTAGAAGTCACATGAAAGGGTGTTACAAGAGTGAGGGGCTCTTAGGGGAAAGAGATGGTAGCCCACAGTGGAGAATTGGCAAGTGTCAAGTGAAAGAGCAGCATATAGAGAAAGGAGAGAGAATGGATATACAACAGTACAAGACCTTGGAGACGTCTGGTTAACACAAGATGGAAGAGAGAGAAAGAGAGATATAATCTATTATACTTTGGCCACTGGGAGAGTGGGAACAGGACATATTGCCCAATGGTTGAACCAGCTTCTCCTTGTTTTCTGCATACCTTGTTTATTTTTTGAAAGGACAGACACTGGGAATGAGAGCTGAAGAATGGAAGCTTATTCCCAAGGAAATATAAACATTTTTTCGGCCACAACACTGGGCTGAATTATAACGCCGACATACTGTGTGCTTTTATTTTATTTTATTTGTATTTATTTGTTTGGCTTTGCTGCCATGGAAACGCAACAAATTTTGGGGATTTGTCACACAATCAGGTTGCCAATTCCATATTTATTTGAATCATCTGCATATAAAAAAGTGTGGTCCATCTCCAACTACTATGTGATTGAAGAGTTGCTAGGTTTAGTTTTTAAAATAAAATATAATAAAGAGTACTATAAAGACTAGTGTTATGCTTGTCTGTTTCGTGATGAGTGAAAAACTCCTCAGGTTTGTGAAATTCAAATGAACTTGGTTGTTTGAAAAGAATAACCCCAGTACCTATGGAAGGAGAAGCCCTGCAAGGAGGAGAGCAGAGGAAAATGGAAAGAAGTGTTGATGGGAGAGTCAGGAAGGGAGAAAGGGAAGAGAAGAGAGAGAAGTGTTGTGCTCTTCATTTTCTGAACTTTTCCCCATGATGCTGACTGCTGTGAGATTTACCATGGACTGCAGAATTGTCGTACTGTTGAAATCTTCTTCCTCAAACAGAAACAAGTGGGAAATTTGTTTCTTGAGTTAATATGTTTCATAGGATATATCACCTGTATTAAATAATTTTGAGTATTAAGTTAAAGATTTAAGTAATCTTGAAGATGTGCCCAAGGAGAAATAATTTGGACTTCACAAGTTTGGGTTAATCTACCATGAAATTAGACCTGTGGTCTTCAGCTTTTTGAGACATAGGACCTTTACCTCCAACCCAGAATGTGAGACTCACTTTTAGCATGTATGTCATCTTTATCCTTTGGGTTTCCATTTGTTGGCCTCTATCAGCCTTTCTTCGACTCTTCTTTGAAGACAAAACAAAGGGGGGAATAACCAAAGCAAAATAGAATGATGGTGCCCTTCATCCACCTTGGGTAGGGATGTGACTTGAGATGGAAGAAAAATCTCATCCAGTTTGAGTTTAAAGGCCAATCTACCTATTTTGCACTTTCGAAAACAACAAGGGAACCAAAAGACAGCCATTCTCCAAAATTCGCACTTCTCTGAATTTTGCTATGCAGTTCTCCAGTCACATAATGTGTACAGAAAAGAACATAAAACGGAGAGTGTGCATTAAAATGAATGTGTTTGTGAAAATAGCATATTCACAATTATATTAGGGAAATTAGTCTGCAAAAATGTCTATGTTAGTCATGATTTCATGTAAAGATGTGCATATATTGGGATCAACATGGACTTAAATGCTGATGAAATTTCATGTGAATTTAAAAATGGGGGAGGAATCACAAATTAATGTGAACTGACCTTGAGGCAAAGAAAAGGGAGAGAGAGAGAGAGATAAAATGCAAGAAACCAAAATGGACAGATTCGCCAATCCCTAGCTGTTACCCATATATGGGTCAGGAACTGCTCAGGTGAGGACCAGTGGCATAAATCAACTTTCTCATCACTCTCAGGATCTGGCTCTCTGGGCTGACTGTGATAACAATTATTGGAAAAACAGAGCTTACTCTTTTGCTGGGGAGTTTGCTAGGATGCTGGTAGTCTGGTCTTAAGCTCAAGCTGAGACTTTGGCTTGTGTTGCTTGAAGCTTGGTTTGCAGGTTGGGCACCAGCCAGGACTTTGTGGAGCAGATGCATCTTATACAGGATAGAAAGGCATGGTTGTATCTTCAAGAGCCCTAAAGAGCACAGTTGACACCTGATGTTATATATGTAGAAGGCCTGCTCATACTCAAGGCCCAGTTTGAGTCTCAGAGGCTGAAGGAGGTTGTATGAGGCCAGAGGATTGGTGGGGCCATTTCTGAGAAATTAAGCACCAACAGCTGTTCTTCCTCTGCTGCTACTGATCTAACCAGCCTTCTGTGCCAGTTTTTTTAATCATGGGGAAGGCTAAGGGCCAGATCTTAAGACCCAGTTGGCATTTCACGGATGATATATTGTGTGTCTTTGGATAGGCCAATGTTTACTGCAGAACAGTTTGGACCTCTTTGGCTTTGTTGACTCCCCGCTTCACAACTCTACTCCACCCTTTCGTAACAGCATGATCAATGTGGGTTGAGCTTGTGCACAAGGAGACTCAATTGCACAGCCACTTCATCATCCACCTCAAATGTCAATTGTTCCACAGATGAACCTGCCCTGTTCAGATGCCCTGAATTTTCCATCATCCCGCTTCATTGGAGGTCCAGTGTGTTACGAGAAAAGGATAAAATCCTTTCTCTATCCACTTTCTCAGTGCCATGCATCATTTTCTAAACTTCTGTCATATCACTTCTTGCTTTTTTCTCTAAACTGAAAAGTCCCAAATGCTGGAACCTTTCCTCACTGAGCGGGGGGAGGTGGCTTCATGTCCCTTTTCCACTTTTTGATGTGAGACAACCACAACTATACCCAGTATTCCAAATGTGGTCACACCAAAGATTTGTACAGTTCCACTCTGATATTGGCATTATGACTTCTGGCCAGCAAGGCTGCCTCTGTTGGAAATCTAAAACTTGGCATCACACACTTTTCTTGCAGGCGCACAGATCTTCACCTGAAGAGGTGTGCTTCCTGCAAAAGTGTACACCTTTCCATTGGTTCTTTTGTGTAATGCTCTACTCCTAAGCCATTTCCCCTTCTGTGGGAGACTTGCAAAGCATTGCTTTTTTTTCTTTAAGGGAAAGTGAGAGATAGAAAAAAGACGCCAGTTTATTGAGGATGCCATATGGACAGGATTTAGCTGCTGATACAGTTCTGGTGCTGTTGGTTTGTTGAGTGGGTGTTGAGGCATAACCCCTGGTCTTCAGGGAACAGGCAGTCCTTCCTTTTGCAGACTTCCATGAAATGATGCTCATATAGAGAGAGAGAGGGAGGGAAGGAGGGAGGGAGGCAGGCAGGCGCACTGGTCCGGTGTGTTTTAATTCACATTAAATGTAAAAGCTCTCAATTATATATAGCTGAGGTGCTGCAATTTACCCTTCCAGTTCCTAAGCAACAGCTATTTTCAGATTGAGTGTGTCTGGTGGTGTTGTCTACCTACTTCATGCGTCTATGAGGTAATTCATCATCGAATGCTGCTGGGTTGTTTCCCCCCCCCCTTCCACCCCACTATCTCTTCCGTGGCTGCTTCCTATAGAGAGATCAAGGCATGCAAAACTGGGAAGAGTTTGGACCAAACAAACAAACAAATCCACCATTTCCCCCACGGCTTCCTTGCAACACCTTTGCAAACACAAAACTTTGGGATCCTTGAAGTCGACTTGAGCGATGCAACGTAAGGATCGGGAATAATATTTTTTGCTGCTGGTTT